GTCGGAAAGCTTGGGAAGAGCTTGCTGGCGTCGCTCGCGATGGCAACCGACCTCCGGCGCAAGATGTGTCGAGTAACATTCCCGATGTGGCCCTCACACCACCTGACCCCGGTGCTGACGACGAGCATCGTCAACATCGACCTGGTCTCGAAAGGTATGCGACTGCCGTCTCGCAGCACCATGCAGCATCAGACGATGGGCAGCCGGGTCCATCTGCAAGCGGATTGCCGTCGGCTGGTCGCGAGGATCGGCTCGACGTATCAGGCGAAGGCGTTCCAAACAGCAACGTGACTTCGCCAGCCTCAACGATGAGTCCCGCTCTGCTGCTCAAGCACGAACGTGTCGCGTCGCAGGTGCCATCCTCGATCGGCCCCGCAGGATCCCGAGTGGCATTTCCGTCGTCGGTAGCGACCGGAGGCTCGCGGTCGATCCAGCCAGCATCGTTACATTCTGCGTCCATGCTGTACGAATCGAGCATCGACACGCGCCGTGGGACGTACGGCATGGACGAGCGCGAGTCTTCGCTTGCGACGGAGCGCACTGTTGAGCGCATGCACCATCCTCGGCAGAGGTCGCGCAGCGATGTCCACGCATCGCGCAGCCGAAACAGCCGGTCCGACAAGGCGAGCAGGTACGACGCCCAGCTCGAGGAGCTTCTGCTGCTGCGCGAAAAGGTCCTCCGACTCGAGAGGTCCGGCAAGTACGGACGCTTTGACAGCATCAACAGCGCCTCTGTGAATCATGCTGCCTCGCTATCCATCGAAGGAGATCACGCCCGTGACTCGGAACTCTTGACGGGGCGTCCACGCCACAGCTCGATCTCGTCGAGGCGCAAGTCGCGACCATCCAAGCTCGGCTACACCACGCCGGACATCATGGCGTGGAAAGCCGGGCTCGGCTCCGGCAGCACGACTTCTTCGTTTGTCGCGTGAGCCGCTGCTTTCGAACCAACTTTTCTTGTGGCCCTTCTGCCACCGGAAGCTCCCGCTTTCACGTCTTGTAGTCTGTGCGTATCTTTGTATCGTGACAGAAGGGCCACCCCCACTCGCACGCTAGTCGTGCTGCCGCTCAGGTCCGCCCCGAGCAGTGTGTGCTTTCAGAGCAAGGTGCAGTCGACGGCTCTCCGCCCCCGCCCTCGCCGGAGCGCGATCCGAGTGGGCTGGAAGAGCACTCCTGCTATCTCAATCTTGACTATCGTTTCTGGACCATCACACTATGCATGCTTTTTAATCACATTCGCTCTTTCTTTCGTTTCAACGGTCTTGAATGGATGTGCTTTCTTCGCAGGGCTCGTGCCTGAAGTGCTCAAAGCCCAAGGCAAACTTAGAGCACAACGGTTAGCCTCCAAACCGAGGGAGAGGGGACGAGCGGACGCTAACCTATCACCGTCCCCAAAGCAGCGTGGCAAAGACCACCGTACCTAGAGACGAAGAAAGTTCCGCCAACCGGAAGCGACGGATAGGGGTACTCCGACACCTTCCCGACGGCAGCTGTCCCCGCTCGGTCCCTCGAGACCCACAGACGCTACAGCGCTAAGCTCCTGCACAGCTGCTGACGTCTGCCAAACTCGAACGCTCGAGCCGAACAAGCTCGGATCGGAGATGCGTCATGCACACCGGGTGTACCGCATGAAATTCCGCAACAGCTCAATGCGCACAGTTTGACGCGGGTCAAGATGCGCGTATCGGAGCTGATCCGTTTAGGCCGGCGCGCACGGGGAGCGTGTTGGCCCACAACCATCGCGGGCGGCAGATGTATGCTGTTCGCAGCGTCTTTGTCTCGGATTGGGGGGGCCGCACAGGCCGTGCTTGTGACTTTGGAAGGGTTTGAGGCGACAGCGCGCGGAGGATTTTCGGATCGCCACACCGGCTTTTAGGTCAAGGCTCCTTGAACATCCCCACAGACCGCCTCTGCATGTGCAGTAGAGGCCCGAGCTCTCGCTAGACTACTCCGAAAGACTTCGCCATGCTGCCTTTTGCAAGCGAGGATGCATACGTCGACGACGCTCTCCGCTCGAGCTCCTGCAATTCGCAAAGCTTATTGTTCGTTCGGCTTCGGCCCGTGATGTGACGATCGCCTTGCATCTGCACGAGACGAGGTCAATGCGGACGGTTTGCTGGGCTAAAGCGGCATTACTTCGGCTCAGAAAAGCGCGCATCCATACACCCCGAGGCTCAAGTGGAACTTCTTCCGGTTCCGGCACCCTTAAAGGGCAGCATGAAGCTCGGACATTTGAGTCAAGGCCAAGCGTACATACTGCAAAGCTGGGTCCTCCGCGAGAATCACAAAGGGATGCAACCCGGACAAGCGAAAGCTTCTAGTGTCATCGACAAGACTCACAGACCGCACGGATACAGGGGCTTGCTCGCGTGCAGAACCGAGAGCCCGGAAGAAGCCACGCTCGCGACCGACTTTCACGGACAGACCGGCTCGACACATGTGCCTGTTCGCTTCCTATTGCAAAGATGGCTGGACTCTGGTGCTCCGACGGCAGCAAAGATGTATGCAAACACGACCACGTTGGGACCTCGATGCAAGCACAGTACATAAATGGCCTCTCCTCGGCGATATCGTCCTGTTCGTCTCCCCATCCTTTCACTCCACTCTACTCCACTCCATACCCTTCCCTTGCGCCTGTCCACCTCCCCTTCCTCCATCTTCACCTCTCCCTTCCCTCTTCCCTTCTCCAGCTCCAGTCCAACTTTCATCTCTTCAATCTCTTTCTTCGATCTCACGTCCTTTGCAAAGACTTCCCCTCACGATCCACTTCCTCCTCCAACTTTCATCATGCGTATCTCCTCCTCCCTCCTCGTTATCCTCGCTGCCATCAGCGCTGCCAACGCTGCTGCGGTTGACTCGGCGCTCAACCCCAAGCACCGTCTGGTTCGCGTCCAAAAGGGAGCTGCCCACGCCAACGCGCTCGATGCCGCCAACGTCAAGGCCGACGCCGTGGACATCCAGAAGCTCCAGCACCTCGCCTCGGTGGCCGCCAAGCGCAGCGTCGAGCTGAGTGCACTCGGCACTGCCGGCGCCCTGGTCGAAGCTGGCCGTGTTAAGAACGTCGCCGGCATTCTCCACACCCTGACCGCCTCGCTCGAGGCTCACATCCAGGCCGCCGCCAAGGTTTCCAAGATCAAGGACACCAAGAAGGCCACCGCCAAGGCCAACACAATCCTCGGCAATGTGCACTCGACTCTGGCTCACGGCGTCGCCAGCGTCGGCGGTGTCAAGACTTCCGCCATCCAGTCTGTCCTCAGCCGTCGCGATCTGCTCGGCTCACTCGACCTCAACATCGTCGGCAGCCTCCTCGGCAAGGTGGACGGAGCTGATGCTCTCATCTCGCTCCTTGCCAGCCTGCACCTCGACGCCGTCCTCGGCGGTGACGTGTTCTCGATCCTCGGCAACGTCAACGTTGTGACGGCGCTCCACGACGTTGCCGGCATCGAGTGCGTTCTCGAGGCCATCCTCAAGATCGGCGAATCGGTCACCGTTCTTGAGGCTTTCCAGCAGCTCGAGGACCCCGTGGCCTTTGTCCAGGCCATGGTTCAGATCAAGAGCGTCGTCGAGCTCGTTGCTGCTGCCTCGGGCGAGATCGATGCTATCGGCAAGGTCGAAGGCGGCGTCAAGCTCGCCGCCTATGTTGCCAAGTTTGGCAGCGAGAGCGTCAAGCGCATCCTCTGCATCAGCGGCATCGAGGGTGTGCTCGAGGCCATCATCAAGGTGTCTGGCTCGTTCAAGCTGCTTGCTTCGCTCAAGACGGTCACGGACGTGTCTGGCTTGGTCAGCGGCCTGGACGCTGTGTCGAGCGTCACCTCGTTTATCGCCTCGGTGCAGGCTGTTTCGGACGTGACCTCGCTCTCGGGCGCGGTCTCAGGTGCCGCCGACGTCACCGGAGCTGCCGACGTCAAGCGCGACCTTCCTCTGGGCGTCGGCGAGACTGTCGACGGTATTGACGTCGACCGCTTGGTTCAGCTCAAGCGCGCCATTGCACACCTCGCTGCTCTGCCGCAGTCGGGTGTTGCTTCGGGCGTAGAACAGACCGCACAGACCCAGGCGGTGGACAACGCCGAGAAGACGGTGAACGGTCTCGACGTGGCTCAGCTCGCCGTCCTCAAGCGCTCCATCGCTGCCCTGTCTGCCCTTTCGGACAGCGATATTGCGGCCATCGACGCCGCCGCCAAGCGCGATATCCTTGCTGTCCTGCCCGTCGGCACGGCTGGTGGTGTGCTTGGCGACGCCGAGTCGACTGTGGCCCAGATCAAGCGCGACGTGCTCAACACGGCCGACTCTGCTGCCTCGGGTGTCACGACGATCCCTGGCTCGATCCTGTCCAGCGTGGACCTGAACCGCATCTCTTTCGTCAGGCGTTCGCAGCTGCTCACTCCAGTTCAGGGTGTGGTTTCGTCGCTTGACGCCGACAGGATCGTGGCTGGCCTCAAGCGTGCGATTGCTGACGCAGATGCTTCGCTGCCCAACTTCCTCGTCAAGGGTTCCAATGTCGGTGTTCACGAGCGCTCGGTTTCTGCCGGTGTTGCTGGCTCGGCCGACATCCGCGTATCGCTCGACCTGCTCGAGGAGGTCGTCGAGACGCTGCTGTGCGACATCAAGGAGCTCCTGTGCAAGCTCACCGAAATTGTCGACTCGATCCACGTCGACGAGGTGGTCTGCAAGATTAAGCAGTCCATCCTGCCGCTCATCGAGCGCCTGGCCTTCACCATCGCCTCTTCGCTTACAGTCAAGGTCCCGGCTATCGATGTCAAGCTCGAGGCCATCCTTCAGCTCGCTTCCAAGACCGCCAAGTCGCTCCCTTAATCTGTCGCCCTTCGTTTCTGTTATTTTGTTTTTGTGTTTGGTCGTGTCGAGATCGCTCCGCCCTAGTTGGCGTGCGCAGATCCACCGCCAGGTTGTTTCCTCCTCACTGCCGAGGTCCCACTGTCATTGTCCAAATCATTGTTTCCCTCGGCTTGACACAAGTTTTGTATTGCAGTGTGACCAGGCCATTAGTACCTCTGTGAGCTTTGACGCGGCGAGGTTCTCTCTCGGGGTTCGCGGTTGTCGCGTCCGGGGCGGATGGCTTTCTTGGGGTAGGCGCGAAGAGGACCATTTGCTCGGGTGGTGTCTGCATCATCCGCCTGGCGCTGTAGCAATCTGAATGGCTGACCGGCCAGCGCTGACGCCTCATCCGCATTCGCAAGCAGCCAGGTATGGCTCCAATCCTCTGTCAGCTCTGTCTTGGGCATGTGTGCGTTGTGCGCCGCGCCACCGAGGACGTCATCGAGTGCGCCGCCGTACATGTTTCCGCGTCTGAGTGCGGGATGAGCGGCCATCTGCTGGTCGAGGACGAACTTGCGCACCTCGTTTGCGATGCGGTCGACCGTTTCGCGGATTGTTTCATCCTCGGTGGTGGCATAGAGTGGTCTTGATGAGCCTGGTGGGATCGAGGCGTGCTTGAGGGGTGCGCTGAGGATGCCCGTCTCGCGCGCTTGGCGCAGCGTCTTGACTACGCCCTGCAGATCACCGAGCCAGTCCCACTGCGTCTTGAGCACCTCGTTGTACAGCAGGCCCGTGACGCCGAGTACGTAGCTCTCGATGCCGAGCGAGCGCGTCACACGCGGCAGAGACAGCGCTACGTGCGGAGCTCTATATCGATCGCGAATCGCCACAAACAACAGCTGCAGCACGGACGAATAGTACGGCGTATCCTTGCCGTACTTTGGCCCCGCCATCTTGGCCGTGCTTGGATCCGATTCAACGGCCTCGGCAGTAGCGTCCGAGGTGGAGGCGCCCTCTTGGGCGGATGGGGATGGAGTGTTGGGGCGGATGCCCCACACCTCGCGCTTGGCAAAGTCGAGCAGCTCGGCGAGGTTTTCGCACATGGCGATGTGTTCGCGCGCCTCGTCGATGCCCGCCTCGAGCAGGAGTGGATCGATCTGCGCCGCCAGACCCTCCCTTGCGAACCGCCTGGCGCGCTGTGCTTTGGCGGCTTCGAAGCGCTGGAGCCTGTTCCGCTTTGCGAATGCCTGCAGCAGCGCCTTGCTCCCCGTCTGCGTCTTTGGATTGCTGATCAGCGACGTGTAGCTTCCGAACGGCAGAGCCGACGAGTCCTCTGCCGCATCACCCGGCATCGACGCCGCCGCCGCCGCCGACGACGACGACGACGACGGGCTGGAGGTGCCGGCAAGCGCCTGGTTGAGCAGCGACATGAACGCGTTGGCCTCCTGCTTTGTCAGCGGCGTGCGGTCGAGGCGCTTGCGTGGAGAGTTGGACGGCTTGCGCGGGCGGAGTTCGTCCGACTGCCTCGCTGCCTCTCCGTCCGCAAAGAGCACGGAGCGCGGAACGAGGTGTTTGCGGCGCTCCGATTCAGACATCTTCTGGTTGGGATTGAGCTGTGCGGAGCGGCCGATGACGCGCGAGGTGCGACTGGATGAAGAGAGCGAGTCGAGCTGCTCGGTGAGCCACGACCCGGTCTTGGGAAGAGCAGCACCATCTTGAGTCGAGTCGGTCGAGGATGAGCCGCCGCTGCTGCTGCTGCTGCTGCCGACTTTGGGGAATGGATCCGAGCCATCAAACAGGCCAGCGTAGGGATTGCTCTTTGGGCTCGACGCCTCGGAAGCAGACACCTGCGTGTTGGATTCGGAGGTTTCCGCATTGCTCTCGAATGGCCAGGTACCCGTTGCTCTTGACGGCGGCTTGTAGCCAGTGCTACCACTGCTACTGCTGTTGTCACTGCTGCCTTCGGCTGTTGTTGAGGATGAGCTCGAGGCCGCGTCGGAGCTTCCGGTGTGTGGCGGTTTGTGCTCGTCGAGGTGTCGGACGCTTGCCGAAAGGTAACGCTGAGTCGCAAACGATGTTCCCACGGCGGCTGTAGGGCGGGCCGATACACCCACGCCCCAGTACCGCGCGGAGCGGCTCAATGCTGAGGCCATTATGGGTGCAGAGCGTGTGAATGTGTGATGTGAGCGGTGATGGGTGTCGGGAGAGGAAGAGGAAAGAGGAGGCTCTGCCGCATGAACCCTCGGGATGCTCAAAATCCGAGGCTTTTTTCTTCCGCATTTTTCAGCCGCTCCACACAGCTCGCCTTCCCAGACCCGAGTTCCGGCCTTTTTCAACGCCTCAGCTCAGAAATCTCATCCGCGTAGGTCGACCTTCAATCGTTCGCTCTGCTCAACACCGTGGACTGCGTGCCATCCGCTTCGAGTAATGTGATCATTGAGCCAAAGCTATGCATCCACGCGCTCCAGCACGCAGACACCCTCGACGTGATGGGTCTGCGGGAAGAGGTCGGCGCCGCGGACGCTCTTGACCTTGTAGCGCGCATCGCGGGTGACGAGCTGTCCGACGTCCCTCGCCTGCGTGTGCACGTTGCACGACACGTAGACGATATGCTTGGGGCCTAGATTGACGAGCTGTCGGATGAACTCTTCGTCGCAGCCCCTCCTGGGCGGATCGATGATCACCGTGGTCTGGTCGGCAGGATACTCGATCTTGGCAAAGATCTCCTCGGCGTTGCCCGCGAGGAACTTGGCGTTGGTGATGCCGTTGAGCTCGGCGTTCTTGGTGGCGTACTTGATCGACTCGGACGAGATCTCCACGCCCGACACTTCGCGGAACAGCGACGCGAGGCACAGGCTGAATAGACCCGAGCCGCAGTACGCATCCACCAGGTAGCGCTCCGAATCGCTCGTGCCTTCCGGGCTCGCTTGGAGGATCTGCTCCCGCACGTATTCCAGCAGGCTCGGAAGGATGCTGCGGTTGTTCTGAAAGAACGTGCCGGCGGGCGACTCGAACTTGGTAGTGAGCACGCGCTCCTTGACCGTCGCCTTGTGGTCGGTGACCACCTCGGTGTCCAGTTCGCGCTCCACCGCGAGCTCGGCGGTTTCGGTCGCCAGACGATCCTCGGCAAAGCTGTCGTACGTGCGAAGCGAGTCGCGCAGCAAGAGGGTGGCGCCGTTCTTGAAGCTCTCGATGCCATCGCGCACCTTTTGCTTGGCGGCGGGAAGGGCCCGGTTGATGGTCGTGGTTGCGATCGGGCACTCTTCGATGTCCATCACCCTCTTGGTGCCGATGCAATCGAATCCGATCGGAACGTCGTACTCGGGCTTGTCGCCATTCGAGGCACCGTTTCCGTTGGCATTGTTGTTGCGGATGCCAGATCTCCTGCCCCTTCGGAGCTCGTACGGAAGCTCAAAGTGCGGCGTAAGCTTGGTGCGGTAATTGTACTGGCTCGGCGACGGAATCGTCGGCAACACGTCGGGGATCAGCCCAGGCTCGAGGCCCGAGAAGCGCGAGAACGCTCGCTCCACCACTCCACGCTTGATCTCGAGCTGCCGAGCATAGTCCATCATCTGATACTGGCATCCGCCGCAGTCGCCAAAGTACTGGCAGCGCACCAGGCTGTCTTGCCGTGTGTCGCTCTTTTTCAGCACCTCGATCAGCTTCGCCTTGGAGTAGAGCCTCTCGTTGCTGACGATATCGACGACCACCTTCTCCTCGGGAAGCACGTGCGGTACGGCGACCACCCAATCGCGTCCGGGCGCAACGGCGAGACCGTCTCCGTGAGCGTCGAGGCACTCGATCCGAAGCGTCAGGCGAGTTCCGCGCTCGAACTTGTTCTGATACTCTGCACCTTCCGAGAGGATGTCGGTCACCTTGCGCACGCCGAGCAGATTCTCGATGTCGAACTCGATCGGCTCGCGGCCAGTCTTGGTGAGCTGCTTGGCGTAGTCCTTGCGCTTTTGGCGCGACCGGCGTGCATCAGCCTTGCGCGCCTGCTTCTCTTGGGCGATGGATGCGTTGGCAGATGTCAATGCGGCGGCAGACGTGGAGGCGGCCTGCTCTGACGTCGTTTGCTCGGGCGAGCGCGATCGCATGCGCTTGGCTGGCGGAAGCTCCGGTGAGCCAGGGGCGGAGGTGGACATGGCGAATCTGGCAGTCGGGCGCGAAAGGACGCCAATGGAAGCTTGTGAAGAGCGTGTGAGCTTGCGCGTATAGAGGCCGTGTGCTGATCGGAACGGCAAGATCGACCTGAGCAGCATCTAGCGTGATGGGTGATGGTCTGCTGAAGAAAACCACAGCGTTCGAGGTTTCTGTACACGCCCGCCAGGGCGAGGAGAAGCCGTCGTCCAATCCGGCGGTGCCAATTTGTGAGGCTCGCCCGGCCAAACGCCGCCAAGAGGTCGAGGCGGAGATAGAAAAAAAAAAAA